ACAAGAGTGGCGATATGAACAGCGAGATATTCTATCTGGAGAATGAGGAAGCGGGCACGAGGAATAGCAGCACCAATGAACTAACCGATAGGTGGACACCAGCTCCGCAGAGGATGATGGTCAGAAGGTGCGCTGCAGCGAGGACATCAACGATAATGGCCGAAGTACCACGGCATTTATCTGACTTGACCAGTGCGAATTTGGGACAATTTCGGCGTACCAAAACAACTAATGAGGCTTTCCTGTCCACTGCATGCTTAACTGTTGAAGAAGCATAACTGGCTTATTGTTCGTTCAGGCAGGACTTCTGGTCACTTTTGGCACCGGTCACTCGAGGCATTGGTCATTCCCGATAAGCTTCAGAGCCATTCCTAAATAAGCTTATCGAAACTTAACCCGAGCTCTGATCGGATCCCCCGAGTGCTGGTACTGTTCTGGCCTCTCAGATAATGCAAGGAACATAGCCTTAGGGCCGTATCTTCCTAGGGGCGGGGGAAGTAGGTCTACTGTTGCGGCGACGAACGGAGAGGGGAGGGGACCTCTGGGGGCGGGGATTATGGGGTGCGGGAGAGAGTTTTCTTCAGTTTTAGCTTTAAACCCGGACTTTTGTAACACTGGTGCTTGCGTCCCCTATGAACACTGTCAAATTTTAATGAACGAAGTACGCTAAAATATCATGTTTGGGGGTGCCTGGAAATACGAAGGAGCTGGCTGGGTCACGCAAAGTGCTGTGTATGCGATGCCCGGATCAATGAGAATGCGCAGTGAAAATTTGAATAAAAAAATATTACCCCGGCAACAACACTTCCGCCCGACGAGTAGCTGAAGAAGAATGAATCCGACAGCGACACGTCCCGTCGTCCGGTCAGTTCGCCACGCACAACCTCTCTCACGTTCATCGCGCTCCGGTTCACGAGACGACGAACAACCACCAGACAGTTCCCGGCAAATTTTTAAACCTAAAGCTTTGGCGCACTGTGCAAACGCTTCATCCCGGACCATGCATTACAATGTGAAAAGAGAGAGTGAAGGGGCGCGGAGATGTGCTCATAGGCGTACCTTTCACCCCCTCTCCCCTCCAGCAGAGCAGGCACCAGTGCCGCAAGAGCTCGGTCCTGTTCATAAATGAAAGTAAAGTAGTTGCTTCAATTGCCTACTTCGGTAACTAAAGTAACCAAATAGCAGTGTTACAACCTTATTCCTAGTTTTTGCATAGTTCCAGGGTGGGAGTGAACTCCCCCCCAACCCCCGTCGCCCCCCTCAGAAGCTCCGTTTTCCCCCACCCCCTGTCACCCTCTCCCTAGAGCGCTGCAACAGG